AAAATTTAAATGACCTTGAACGGAAATCAGTATTCTCATACGACTGTTTTGTATACTCCAGTGGAGTCTGTGTACACGTCGTTATCATATGTCACTTAGGATAGTAAACATTCCATTGAAATTAACGCTGCATTTCCTATTATTCACTTGCAGACAGAAGAAGAAGTGACAATGTTCCATCGTACCACACGTGAAGTAAGTGATATTCTAATGCTACATTTTTTTAACATATTGAAATGTTACAAATGTAATGTTTTCTTTGTGATAGGTTATGAGTCATAGTTCGTTCGTTTAGCAAGTTCGACGTTATATACTGATGTTGTGCTAAAGCTATTCGCCAGTTGCTAATGTGAAGTCGTGGATACAATAAAAAGATTATAGTAAAGAGAACGTGTAAAAGATTCATCACGGACATAGTATTAACTTAGATATATATATGTACATATACATGTGTGTGGACCTGTAATATGATACATTTTTACTACATTAGTAATTTGTCATAATAAGACAAGATTTCTGTAAAGAAAAATTACAGATGATACAGAGATTAATTTAATCAACAATATATTTATTGCAAGGAATGCATTATAATAGAGAGTTTAATATATGATATTGTATTTATAACAATTCCTAAAAGAAAAGGACATAGTATTTTATTTAATTTCATTCAAAGTATTATTGAAAAACTAAAAATATTTCCTATATCATTTGAAATGATATAGACACAAATTAATACAGTGATTTATAAACACAATAATCAAACTGAGAAAGTACAAAAGAATTTGTAATGCTAGTTAACATAGTACATTTTTAAAAAGTTGATATTTATTGAGAGCGAAAGAAAAATATTCTGTGGTAAATATGAGTGGAACGTTAAGAGACCAACCATGGGGTCTTCAAGTATTAGAATCCATAGTTTGGAAATGTTGCCCTCATCGCAGGGTCAATCGAATGGCATGGCATCAAGGTGGCATTTTAGCCTTGACGTATTTGGCATATACTTGCTATCACATGACACGAAAGCCTATATCTGTGGTAAAAAATGTATTGAGTCTTAATTGTAGCAGCTTGTCACCACCTCCAAACTTTTTAATCAATAGTACCAATAGAGATACGTGGTGTGATTGGGCTCCATTTGGTAAGCACAAAGTTAACACTAAAGATAATGATCGTATAAAATATATTTTTATAATATTTTACATAAGATTTGATTTTTAGATACCATAGATGCTCCAGCATTACTTGGAATGTTGGATTCCGCATTTCTGTTCGCGTATGCAGCAGCCATGTTCCTCAGGTGACATTGAAGTGAGCTTATTTATGATGTAAAAATTACAGATAGTATTTTGATCATAACTTTATATTTTTCTGTACAGTGGTTTTATAGCAGAGAGAGTTAATCTACGTTATTTTCTTACATTTGGTATGCTTGCATCAGGTATATCAAGTTATCTTTTTGGTATTGCTAGACCATATAATATTCATAGCTTATGGTACTTTATTCTAATCCAGGTACATATGCACATTATCAATTACAAAGACTAAATCATTATATAAAATATGGTAAATATATCGCATTATATTTTATTACTGATTTTCTATAGGCAATCGCTGGTGTCTGCCAGACATCGGGTTGGCCAGGTGTAGTTGCAGTTGTTGGAAATTGGTTTGGAAAAGGAAAACGAGGATTAATTTTTGGAATATGGAACTCCCATACATCGTTAGGAAATATTTTGGGTACTTTAATAGCTGCTGAATTTGTGGAATCTGATTGGGGCTTAAGTTTCATGATACCTGGAATGACAATGGGCTTAGCAGGATTCGTAATATTTCTATTTCTTGTACCCCATCCTATAGACATAGGATGTATTCCGCCCGTTCCTCATGGATATAGAAAATTTGAAGATATCCATAGTTCAGACGAGAATAGCGGTGTAGAGGATTCTAGGAATTGTAATAGCAATGTTGAAGATGTAAGTTTATAACAGTTTTACTATTTAATGGAGTTCTCTTGTATGGTTACCAGCATGCAGTGTCTTGATAGAAATATTTCTTAACCATTGTTTTGGTACTGTGTATACCGCACTTGAATGATACAATGAGCCAAAAAAGTATTTGCACATTTTTTATAATAATTTCGTATAAAAAAGATAACATAATTTAAATATTTTTGGTAGCCCACAATACTTTATGGTATATAAATAATATGTTATTTATTATTCTGCTTGTGTAAAGTTATAAAAATAACTTAGTGTGCAAACACCTTTTTGACCAATAAATTTGATAAGATATGCATTACATACTTCTTTTTCAGTTATGTTAAATGCTTTTCACTTTTGGACTCTTTTTAATTTCGTATATCTTTCGTAGTCTATAGAAACATTATATATTAAAATATTTTCATAATTCCATAATTATTGTTTTTTACTTTTGCACATGTCATAAGCTTACTAAAGATAACTCATTTGCTGTACTTAGCGTCTCATCTATCGCTGTGCCTACCGCGAACAGATTGGTGTTAATGTAAGTGCATGCTTTGTTTTTTACATAATTAATGTTGCACTTTATATAACTGAATTAACATAAAATAGAGTTTATTTCTTTATTATATATGTATTCACACCACCCTTATAAAATAGAATTTATTTCTTCATTATCTAAGTATTCGTAGTATACCTTTGTAATATTTGTTAAAATACATTTAAGATTTGAATGCACCTACGTTTCATCACTTACTATCTCCAATATTTATGAAGAAATTTTTTTTAAAGGATTTGGAAAGTGCAAGATCCGAAACTAGCCCAATATTACCAAGGCACAGACGCACGCAAGACCATCACAAAGCAGACGCAATTGGATTTATAGGAGCTCTTACTATTCCTGGAGTCATAGAGTATTCTCTTTCCTTATTTTTTGCAAAACTTGTAAGCTACACATTCATGTACTGGTTACCATTGTATATTGCAGCATCAAGTTAGTACTCATTTCATTAAAATATAATGCAATGTCTTCTTTAAATCTTATAATATTAAACAAATTTTTGTTTTCTTACTTTATACTGTACATGTTACAATCATAGCACATTTTAAATATTTTGTCTTTTTTCAGCTACTTATGGTGCAACATTAAGTGCGGATATCTCAGTTTTATTTGATATTGGAGGTATTGCGGGTGCAATAGCAGCTGGTATTTTATCTGATTACAGTGGCATGAGTGCTGTAATATGTGCAGCTATGCTTGCACTTGCAGTTCCTGTAGTAAGTAGTACTTTTTTATGTAATACATGTGTGATATGTATTTATTTATATGATTTTCTTGATATAGTTATTTATCTATGACTACATTGGAAGCTCTGGTTTGGGGATCAACGTAGCATTGCTATTAATAGCTGGAATGCTAGTCAATGGACCTTATGCTTTGATTACAACTGCCGTATCAGCTGAACTAGGAATTCATCCTAGCCTTGGAGAAAATTCTAAAGCTGTAGCTACAGTTACTGCCATCATCGATGGAACAGGTAGTATCGGTGCTGCAGTTGGCCCACTATTAGCAGGATTACTGTCACGCTGGAGTGATTGGCACAATGTATTTTATATGCTCATGTCTGCAGATATTCTGTCATTATTGGTACTTTTTTTTTAATCGATACAACATTCCTAATCAATAACAAATATTAAAAAATTTAATGAAATATTTTATTGTTTCAGGTTTTATCGCGATTGGTTTACAAAGATCTACAAATATATTTCTACAGAAGAGCTGTTTAATTTCATTTTATGTCGAAGAAAGAATAAGATGAATACATAAATATTTTAATCTGCATTTGAAATTTTAGTTTTTTTTACAAATATTATAAAATGCATAAATCATTGCATTTTATATATTTAAAGCTTATGTGTTAAAAATATTTTACTTGAATACATTAAAATAAATGCTATATTTTATATATGATGGAGTATTATAATTTAACCAAATTTAAGACGAGAATATAACAGTCTTGTCATTTATTTGTACATTAAAAATATAATGATTAGTTGGTAATTGGTAATTAAGCGAATCAAGTAATCAAGGAATGCCGGTAGGAATTATGTAACTAATGGAATCTGCAAATTCACCCCATTCAGTTCTTTGTGTCTGAAATACAATAATCCATGCTAATAGAGCAGTTGACCATATAGCTGCTCCTATCGCAGAGAATATCACATCTGAAATTTTATTTGAACAAAATATTGATTAAAAAATTCACATTTACACATGTATATATAGCAATGCAGAAAGATATAAAGTAAAGTATGTTATATAATTTGCAATTGTCAAATAAATATAAAGTTATCTTGAAAAAGTGAAATATCAAGTACGAGTTAAAAATGATTCTGTTACAGGTTCAGAAATCATAGCTGTGGATTAAAATTAAAGTATTCGGAACTTACATCTTTTAATTTGCTTTTGTTCTTCGTAATGCGGAGCAATAAAAGCTTCCGTGGCAAACCAAATGGCATTTACAGCCCAAAGAAATGGCAAAAACGCAAACCCAGCTGTAAAATAAGCAAAATATCCAGGTTTCATTTCATGCAAATAATTGCAATATTACTAATTAAATATTACTTACCACGAAAATACCATTTGCAAAGATATAATTTTTTGTCATTCGGAATCTTTGACAAATCCATTGTGACAACAAGAACCTTTAATGTATAACCTATATATTTGTTCGAAACATTCAAACATGCATGTACATTACTATCCTATGTATCGGAAGGCTACATCCAGATCAAATTAAAGCAATTATTTAAAGCATTAACAGAAACTGCAGAATAATATAACAAACACATATGTGGATGTGTCAAACCAAAACCTAAGATTTTCTTTCGGATTAAAGGTGTTACTCACGTTTTCCAGAAGATGGCGTAACATTACGCTAAAAGATATTGTACAGTAAAAAAGAATGTATTTCAGCGGTTCTCATGATGAATAGACCGAACCCATAAATCATTTAAACGATATAAATTAGTCCGTGAAATTGTAATGTTTGTTTTATACTTTAAGAAGTTGTATAGAAAACTATTGTTTCGTGAAACAATAAAACCCTGCATTTCATTTAGAGAATTCCATGTCGAAAAATAAACAGAATCCTGAATGACCGCCATTTTGGTGGCCGCAACAGTGGGAGTGAGTCACGTGACTGGTTAACTTGCCGCCCCGCTTGTCGCGCGAGTATTCGTGACCAGCCATTTTGATTAGTAACATGGCGTCAGCGGAGATTAATATGGCGTCCTCGGACATAATAACCGAAGTGGAGATTCAACCAGATATCCAAGAGGTTGAAATAGAAACAATACCAGTGGAAATACCCTGTGAGACGGTGGAAACAACCATCGAGGGAGAGGATGGGCAACCGATGATTGCCCTTCAACCACTTCCAGAGCCAGGACGCGAAGAAATCATACTACAGACGCAAGAGGAAATCGTCGGCAGTGATCCGCTAAGCGTATACGATCAAATCCCGGTACCAGAGAACGATATTTATGTCGAGTCGAGCCCCGGTCCATCGAGGAAAGGTCCTAAGAAGGCCAGAAAAAGCGGTACGACAAGATTTAGAACGAGCGACCATACGATTTTTGGGGAAATGGGCTCGGAAACGAAGGCTAGAAAGTGGGAGCAGAAGCAAGTGCAAATCAAGACGCTCGAAGGTGAATTTTCGGTGACGATGTGGGCCTCAGGTACCGATGACGGTAAGTCTTGGTCGTTTATTTTCTAACCTTTTCTGCTAACGTAAAAATGAAACACACCGTGCTAGCACATCGTGAAGCTTTGCAATTGGTATCCTATCTCTATGCACACTGTTAGTACGCACTTCCGGTGGACTCGAATCAATACCGTGGTTTTCTTACGGGACTGTCACAGAAATCGACGAATTGTTTTTGAATTCTTTATTATCTACGATTTCATTGACAGTTTGCGTTGTTTGTTTTGATCGAGGGAACGCCATTATGCTGCCAGGGGGCAGCCATATTTTGAAAATGGCTTCTTTTACGTGGATCTATCTTCCCGAGTGATAATGGCGGAGATGCACTTACAGCAGCACAAGCAGAGCTCCGCGCTCTCGTTATCTTTATTTTATTCAATGCATAACATCAATTAATTATTTATTCTTAGTCTTATGTCTGTATTAGCTTTTGTACATTTATATTAAATAAAATCCCTAATTTCACGTTTTAGTTGTAAAATTATTTAGAAATATTAGATTTGTTCTTGCTGATATGAAAGTCGTTTTGACTTCTTACGTCATGCTATGTAAAACCTATCATTTTTACAGAAACATTTATGTGTGGATTAAGTCACATATATCAAAATCATTTTAATGCTCTT